GGGGGGTGGGGGAGGGTGGGAGGGCATCCTTGATGGAACACATGAGAGACAGAGGCGACGACCTGAGACTGATCCGATAAAAAAGACCACCGCAGTAGAAGCAGAGAGGGTGAGAAAGAGAGGGATGAAATTGGGGAAATGACACCCAGCCTCCCTCCCTCACTCCCCCCCTCCCTTCCTTCCCCCCTGTCCCTCTCGGTGGCTGGCTAAAGGGGAAGGAGCAGGGAGAGAGAGAGAGAGATGGAAAAATTACAAAAAAAAAACCCAAAAACTTTGAAGTCTTTCGAGTAGAAGTGACATCATCAGGTCTGTTTTCAAGTTTTAAATCAGGGTTAGTTAAGATAATATTGAAACAGAATTTAGTTGTTTTTTTTTTACGTATATATATAATTTTATAGAGCGTGAATGACGAGACTCTGTGTGTGTTTGTGTTTGTCTGGCTGGGGAGGAAGGTTCTGGAAAGATTGTCTGAGTAACTACTACAGGTGGTGTTTATATAACATAATCCTCATATCAGTTGTTCATTAACCTTATCTCACAACATGTCAAGATATCACCGCGTGTGCACGCGTGCGGGCGATGGCGTCGCTGTGACACCTTCATCTGCACTCGGACTGAAGTCAGACTCAGAGATGTGTGCAGGGCCGGTGCTGTCTGTCGGAACGGAACCTGAGTCCGTGTCTAATCAGGTTAAGTCTTGGCACCAGTGGCCTCCACCTCCACCTCCACCTCCAGCTCCACCTCCACCACAGGCTGCTAATGCAATTGGATGTGCAGAGGCACTGCTTACAGGAAGGAATTATGGGTTCTCCTTCAGTGGCTTTGACTGTCCAGTGGAGGCGTGAAGAACAAACAACACTGTGGTACAGTCCCACGAGGACAGGACACACACACACACACGCGTGCGCTGACTAACTGGTAGCCTTTGTGCTGCTCCTCATATACAGTAGCATCATCGTCCCAGTCAGAGGAGGTTCAGTCTGATGGTGACATCATCATTTATTTAATAATAAACTCTAACAGACAGCGATGTGAACGTGTCAGTGGTTTAAGGACAGGACGGCAATTAAAGACAACAGATAAGAGTTGTGGTTTTTTTTACTGTTCTTTTTATAGCAGCTGATTGATTAGAGTCCGTTCAGATTACGGTGATGTTGTAGATGTAAGTCCTGCTAAATGAACTTTGAACCATGTCAGTAACAAAGCAGTAACGTCGTCCTGACTCCATGAACGATACAGTTGATGAAACAGACAGAACTTCGACCGTCGACCAACGTGAAGTGATGGGTAAAAACCTAACTGTTTTTCCCGCTCGTGACCCCTTCCTTGACCAGTGTGATGTCTGTCTGTAGCACAGTGTTCTTTGGTTGTTAGTACAGTCAACAGATCTAAATGTACTGTCTGGAAGCTCAGGATGGGGAGGGGGTGGAGTACAGTGGTATGCTGAAAGCCCATGGTTTAAATTATTGACAAATCACTATGCAGACTGTTGCTACGGCGACCCCTGATGAGGTCACGACAGGTCATAAAAGGTCCAGATCAGTCCCAGCTTTTTTTTTTACTGCTTCTAACACAAAGTCTTGGGTCTGCCCAATAGAAACTGGTTGTCAGGCGACCTCTGTGACCTCTGTGATTGCCCATAATGCTCAGGTCAAATCCAGTGTATCATATTTACAGAGGTGGAGAGTACAGGTTGGCCGAGTCAGGCAGCATCTCCAGTTGAGTCGGTGGTCTTTGGGAATAACAGTCTGAACTTCAGAATCCCCCGCAGCCTCGCTGGCTCTGCACCAACTCTATTTATACCCTGTTTGTGTTTCCAGCAGTAACCTTCATTGGATGCATTTGTTTATGTATGTCCAGTCCAGAGTGTCCGCAGACTGGACGACAGGCTGGGCTGCAGCAGAGAGAAGGTGAAGACAAACAGAGGAGAAGAAAGGCCTCAGGCCTCAGGCTGTGTGTTTGAACAGCTGTGGATGATGCACTCGGTTAAACATGAAAACTTCTACACTTTGTCCAAAGAAGTCTCTCTCTCTGTGTGTGTGTGTGAGACGTCCAGCTCTGTAACTGTGGATATTATGAGTGTGTTACCTGTCTGTGATTCACTCTCTGAAGAATTCTCCTGCTTTTATTTGGCTGCAGCAGCAGCTGGGATCTGCATTTCAGCTCAACATCCCGTCACCTTCATCCTCCTCCTCCTCCTCCTCCTTCCATCATTCCTTCCCACCAAGTCCTTTTTTTTCTTAATGCTTTTATCCTTTTCTTTTATCTTGTCCTCCCCCTCCCTCCCTTTCTCCCCTCTAACATCCACGGTGCACTTCTTTCCTTCGCTCTGCGGTAAAAGAATTTTTCTTTCCTTTCTTTTCCTGCCAGAGATTCCTGTTCCTCCGTCAAATGTGCAGTTGTCTTTAAAATTACTCAGGTTTATTTTTGTAATGGAATTTTTTGTGTTGGAAAGGAAAAGAGAGCGAGAGAGGGAGAACGGAGGGGAAAGGAGAGGTGAGAGGAGGAAGGAAAGAAGGAAAAGGGGCTGAGCAGGAAAGAAGGAAGGGTGGAAGTAAGGATTAAGATGCAAGAAAGGAAGAGAGAAGAGGGAAGGAAGGAAGGGAAGAGAGAGTGAAGGAAGAAAGAAAGAAAGAAAGAAAGAAAGAAAGAAAGAACTGCTAGTTTGTTTTTCAGGCTCGGGTTCAGTGTAAATCTGTCAGCCTTGTAAATGTGGAGAGACGAAAACAAACCTACGACAGAATGTAAACACACTACAGCAGTTACACACACTCACACACACACACACACACACTCAGAGAGACTTCAAATCCTCTCTACAAACAAACCAAAGTGCAGCTTCGAGGGCGGATTGTTCTTTTTTTCTACTTCTCATTTGTCAACATTCCCATTAATTCCAATCACACATTCCCATAATTCCCTCTCTCTCTCCCCCTCTCTCTCTCGCCCTCTCTCTCACTCTGTGAATACAGTACAGTGTAATGACTCTGTGCTAATGTGACGTGCAGCCTCCTCTCAGGACATGCTGCGGCCTTTATGCGCAGGTTTAGCGGCTGACGGTTTCCGAGGTTTAGCTAACGGTCGACGTGCCTGACGCCGCCGAGCAGGGATTTGGAGAGGAATTAGCGGAGAGTAGAACGTTTCTGCCTGGAGGGGGCTCCACTGTGTTCAGAGCAGAGGAACCTCTGATGTTCTCCAGGTTCTAAAGAGGCTCCTGCTTTGATTTAACTTTGAAAAAAAATGAACTGACAGACAAAATATTTCAGAAGAGCTAAACACGCTAAATCAGTGAAGTTCACCAGAAGGAACAGGTTAAGGTTGTTAAAAACTACAGAGAACATAAAGACAAGAACCACAAGTAAAATAAAAATAGAAAAAATAGTTTAAAAAATGAAATTTAAAGCCAATGTAAAACTTTTTTTGGACCAATCCGATGACAGCGTTCTTTTTTTTTTTACTCTAAATACAGGGTTAAAAAACCCTCTCCAAGGAGACAGAAACGTTCATCCTTCTCCTCGTCCTCTCTCCCCCCTCTCCCCCCCCTCCCTCCTCCATCTCTGCCTGTCACGCTCCAGTGGCTGGGTTAAGTTAAGTAAGAGTGTTCTAATAATTAGGACTGGGACTGCTCCGCCGGTGTGTGTGTGTGAGAGTGTGAGAGTGTGTCTTCCTGTCAGTGCTTAGCCAGATGTTAAAAGGCTTGTCCCTCTCATGTTGCCTCCCTGTCAGTGTGAGACACACACACACACACACACACACTCACACACACTCACAGACATTAGAGAGAGTGCTACTTGTGGTGTCTTTGTTCCCCCCCCCAG